GAGATAGCATGGGAAGAAATGCCAGATATGGGTGAAGGGGAGGAAGTCAGCAAATCACACTGCCACGTGTGTGCCTATGCAACTATCTTGCATGTTCTTCACATGTACCCCAAAACCTAAAATGCAATTTAAAAAATTAACAAAAAAACCTAATCTAAAGCTTTAGATAAAGAGCTTTCATTCTTAGTTTTGTTGAAATTTCCTTTACTAAGTATTCCCTCCTAACAGATCTAATTTGAATCTTCACTACCGCTTGCTAGCTGTATCACCCTGAATAAGCATCTTAATCTATTTGCCTTTGTTTTCCTCAATGAAGAAAAGGGAGCATGGTGCCTGATTTGCAGAATTCCTACACAGATGAGGGATAATACACTACAGGGCCAGCTACAATACACAGCAACATGAAAAAAAGAAAAAGAAAAAAGAAACCAGGGGATAGTAAGCAAATTGTGTCCACTATTAAAGACATCCTAGACTCAAGGTTGGTGACTTGCATTATGTTTTCATTTAATTTTCCAATTAGGTCTCTAGAAAAGTTGGATGGATCCTGGGTTTATGGCTTACAATATCTCTAGTAAAAGGAAACCCCAGATGCAGTTGCTTTGCTAAATAAGCTGTTTCTGCTAGAGCCAGTTAACAATGCTTGAGGTCCATGGTATGTAGTAAGTGAACTAGCCAGGGTATTCTCTTCCATCTCTTCAGAAAGGAGGGCAAGAAACCATTTCTATTCACTCTGAATGGACAACAGTGTATTTTTACAGTTTTTATATAACACTACCTTAACTCTCCTGTCCTGAATCAAGATTTATTCTGAAAATATCCAAATGCAGATTCTATTGGCCTATTTGTCATATTCTCAGAGGGAGAAAACTTCCAGCAGGGGGCACAAAGAGCATCTCTCAGTCATTAAACTGTTGCTATGGTAGGTCACTTTGGGCTACTTGTACCTATTTCCTTCTGTTCCCTTAGTTGTAATTCCCAAGAGTATCCTCCAAAGTACTCCTAAATGCAAATCACCAAGTACGACAGCCTGTTTTCTCAGGAACTAGCCTTCACCAACTTTTAACCTATGGTAGTATTTAACTCATTTATTGCTCTTATTGTTTATGTTCTCTTTCCTTCCTCTAGAATGTAAGATCCATGAGGGTGAGAATTTTTGTTTGCTTTCCATCCAGATGTAACCCAACACCTACAACAGATTCTGGCTCATTAAATACACTTAAGCAACATTTGACTAAGTGTATATTACATAAAAAAGCCTAACTTATTAACTTTTGGATATTATGACTGGTGCTGCAACTCATGCCTCTGAAAACCATTTGTCTTTTAGAGCATCTTTCTACATGATTTAATAACAAATAGTTTTATAATTTTTCAAATTATCTAAACAATACATGTTTATTTTTACTCAAACAACATAGAGACATGTAATAGAAAGGTAGTCACAACCTAGAGATAAATACTATTGGATGACCATTCTTTAACATGTGTAAGTATTGTATCAATGCATTTTCAAGTTTACCTATATAAAATATTACGGATTCTTTTTTGTTATTTATATCTTTACCTTTTGTTTTGTTTGGCTACTTATACTACCTCCAGCTCAATTACTTTCCCCATGACCAAGATTATATTCCTCTTTTCTCCGTGCATATGTAATCATTTACAAATGTACTTATACCTTTTGGGTTTGAGTATAATTTGTTTTAGGTATTGTGAGGGACAGAGGCATCACCCAGATCACTCCTCAGTGAAGAACTAGAAGCTGGGGGGTTCTAACAGTAGATGCCTCAGTCTCTGCAGTGATTACTAGCTTCAGAGAGCTGCCTCACCCATAGTCACACCATTTCCTAAGCAGCCCACATCAAATTACTAATCTAGTTCAGAGTATGACTTACTGGCCATTTGGACCCAATGCAGGGACACTCTGATGGCCATTTTAGCTCTAGACCTCCCCATTGGGTCAGCCAAGATTTTCATCAGGCTTACTTCACAACTCAATTTCACCTTCTGCCCAGTTTTGCTTTTTCCCTCCCCTGCTTATAAATGTTGATTCCAGGACACTTCCAAATAAATACCTTAGACTTCATCTCAGATTCTGCTTCCTGGGAAATCTAACCTGTGCAAGGAATAGTACTATGTATTCATCTCTGCTCTCTTGCTTTTCTCTCTCACTATAATCACAGACACTGACCCAGACAATGGACATAGAGCTGAGGCTTTCTTTTGAATAATGATGTAATTTTCCAGCATTTTCATGCACCATAATTTGTTCAACTTTCCATACTAGGAAACATTCTAGTAGTTTCCAAATTTCATTTTTAAACACATTTTCAGAACTTTAAAAAGTTCTGAAATAAATGTCCCAGTCACAGATCAATTTAAACTCAAAATTACATGATTACTTACTTCCAAAGTTTACATTACATTTTTTTCACTAATCAGTTAGCCTTAATCTTTTAAATGAAGTTCACATTACTCCACTTATTACTTTATGTATTTTTTGAGAGTTCCAATATTATCAACACGGGTCAATAATTTTTAAAATTCATGGCTAATAGCTATAAAATTAAAGTTTTCTGAACATTTTAGTCATTCTTCTTTTCCGAATTTTTTGAAATATATGAAAAAAGTACTATCAATATTCTTCTTTAGATGGGATAAATTGCTCACACAAAAGTAACAAGGCTGCATTTAATCCTCTCTTTTTCAGTGCAGTAATTTCCATGCACAGAAAATAAATATTAAAAACTATAAATTTTGAAATCACAAATACTAGGTTGGGATCCTAGCTATACAAAATATTACATGTGCAATATCCAACTTACTCAAACTCTCTCAATTTCAGTTTTCTCATTTGTGAAATGTGAATGGCTTGCTGGGTTTAGTGCGAACTAAAGATTTTGTAGGTTCATTATCTGGCAAAGTGCTTGCATAGAAAAAGTAGTCTGTAAATCATTATAATTATTTTCTTCATATTTTTGGATTTTCACATAGAGGTGTGTGTGTGCGTGTGTGTGTATATGTATCAATGCTATACTCACACTTTTTTCTTCTAATAGTTTTTTTTTTTCTTAAACAAATCAACATTTTCTCTGCTTTATGAAAGTAAAGAATACTTTAGGTATTTAGGCTGGTGCAAAAGTAACTGCATTTTTGGACCGTGAAATTTAAATCATTATGACTAGGCTCAAATACATCTATATTAATCAAAATAAGAACCATATGATGATACATTTTTGCCAATGAGAAATAAGTTTCTTTATTCCAGTAGCATAAAAATCCATGGTTTGGGATTCAACAAATTCTTGGAAAGCATTTTCTGCATCCTGCTGGTTTTGGAAGCATTTTACCTGCAAAACATTGTGGAGATGCTTGAAGAAGTGGTAGTCAGTTGATGAGATGTCAGGTGGATATGGAGGATGAGCCAAAACATGGTAGCTCAATGTGTTCAACTTTGGACGCATTGGTTGTGCAACCCATGGTTAGGAAGTGTCATGGAGAAGAATTGGGCCTTTCTATTGACCAATGCCAGCTACAGGCATTGCAGTTTTTTGTGCATCTCATTGATTTGCTAAGCACAGTCCTCAGATAAAATGGTTTTGCCAGGATTTAGATAGCTATAGTGGATCAGACCATCAGCAGACCACCAAACGGTGACTTTAACCTTTTTTTGGTGCAAGTTTGGCTTTGAGAAGTGCTTTGGAGCTTCTTCTCGGCACTGAGCTAGTCATCACTGGCTGTCATATAAAATCTACTTTTTGTAGCACATCACAATCTCATCAAGAAATGGTTCTTTCTTGTTGTGTAGAATAAGAGAAGACAACACTTCAAAATGATGTTTTTTTAAATTTTCACTTAGCTCATGAAGCACCCACTTATAGAGATTTTTCACCTTTCCAATTTGTTTCAAATGCTGAATGACCCTAGAATGGTTGACACTGAGTTCTTTGGCCACTTCTTGTGTGGTTGTAAGAGGATCAGCTTCAATGATCACTCTCAATTCGCCATTGTTAACTTCCCATGGTCGGCCACTATGCTCCTCATCTTCAAGCCACTCATCTCCTTTGCAAAACTTCTCGAACCACCACTGTAGCAGTTCCTGGGCCAAATGCACTATTGATATTGTGAGTTGTTTCTGCTGCTTTATGACCCATTTTTAAATCAAATAAGAAAATGGCTTGAATTTGCTTTTTGTCTAACATCATTTTCATAATCTAAAATAAATATAAAATAAACAGGAAGTAATAGGTCATTAAGAAAAAAGCAAGAAATGAGCATTAAAATGATGTCTAACATAACCACATTTATTTAAGAACTTATTCCAATATCAAAAGGCAAATTTCAACAATGCAAAAATGGCAATTACTTTTGCACCAACTTTATCTTATCTTTTCTTATCTTTTACCTCCTTATCTTATGTGGGCTTTGTGATACCTAATTAGATATATTTACCTCCTTATACAATTTACCAAGTCAACAGAGTATAGTTCTTCACCCACATGAAAAAGCAGAAGTGGATAGAAAAAGCTTATGAACCTGATAAATTAAGCCAGACTTTCACCTTCAAAACAGAAACACACACACACACACATACACACACACACACACACACACACACACACACACACTCAAATACTACAGTTTTAAGGAGCCAGGTCAGATCTAAATTAAAACTTTTGCAGAAGCCTCACGTGGAATCAAGTTATATCATTTCTCATACTCTGTTCCCTGGGCCTAAGGCCATTTTCCTCAGCCCTTCGTATATACAAGTCTTTCTTTCTGTGGAAAGAGCAAGAAGCTGCTTTTTGTTTGCAGATGATTCTGATTTACCTTATAGGTAATAGGTAATCTTTTATATAGTTCCACTAGTTCAAATTTTTTATTTTTCCCTCTATTTTGTGATGTATTATTAATCTGGCCACATTTTACTGTTGGTTTTTATCCCCCTTGATCTCCTAGCTTTCTTTTTGAAATATTTCTTCTACTCTGTCTACTAGCTCTACTAACCCAGGAATATAGAAACATTGCTGACAGAGGATCCAAGATGGCCAAAGAGGAACAGCTCCAGAGTGCAGTTCCCAGCAAAAACAATGCAGAGGGTGAGTGCTCACTGAATTTCCAAACAAGTTTTCACTGCCCACAGACCGGGAGATTCCCAGGCCAAAAAGCACCATGAGTTTTCAGCATGGCTGGAGCAGTGGGTGGGCGCACAGAAACTTACACAAATCTGGGTGGCCATTTCAACTGGTGCCTGGGATGCCTGGGAGACAGAGCAGCCCATTCAACTGAAAGGGAGGGGGCTGAAACAGGGAGCCAGGCGATCTGGTTCAGTAGATACCACCCCAACAAAACAAGCAATCTGAAATGCTCTGGATTGAGATTTTCGCAGCAAGCACAGCTGGACCCGGGACTGTCCAGCTCAGTGGGGGGAAGGGCGTCTGCTGCTACTAAGGCAGTCCGCTAATGCCAAGGCAGTTCACAAAGCAGCTGGGCAGAGCCTGTGGCAGCTCAGCAATGCCTCTGCTAGCAGATTGTGACTAAATTACTATGTGTGGGGCAGGGCATCTCTGAAAAAAGGCAGCAGCATGTCAGGAACCTATAAATAAAGCTGACCCTCCTAAGTCAGAACACCTGAAAAAAGAGGTAGTTATGAGTTTTGCTGCAGTAGACTTAAAGGTACTTGCCCAGCAGCTCTGCATGGAACAACAGAGCTCCCAGCACAGCACTTGAGCTCCTATAAGGGACAGACTGTCTCCTCAAGCAGTTTGCTGAACCTCGTATACACAAAGAGACACCTCATAAAGAGGAGCTCAGGCCAACATCTGGTGGGTACTCTTCTGGGATGAAGATAACAGAAGAAGAAACCAGCAGTGACCCTTACTGTTCTACAGACCCTGTGGGTGATCCCCAAGCAAGTAAGATCTGGAGTGGACCTCCAGCAGTCCTGCAGCAGAGGGGCCTGACTGTTAGAAGGAAAACTAAGAAGGGAAAGAAATAGCTTCAACATCAACAAAAAGGACATCCACTTAGAGACCCCATCTGAAAGTCACCAACTACAAAGACCACAGGTAGATAAGGCCACAAGAATGGGAAGAAACTAGCGCAAAAAGGATGAAAACACCAAAAACCAGAAGTTCTCTCCTCCTCCAAGGGATCATAACTTTTCACCAGTTAGGGATCAAAGATGGAGAATGAATTTGATAAATTGACAAAAACAGGCTTCAGAAGGTGGGTAATAACAAACATCTCAGAGCTAAAAGAACATGTGCTAACCCAATGCAAAGAAACTAAGAACCTACATAAAAGGTTAGATGAGATGCTAACTAGAATAAACAGCTTACAGAAGAATATAAATGACTTGATGGAGCTGAAAAACACAGCATGAGAACTTTGCAAAGCATACACAAGTTTCAATAGCCAAATCAATCAAGAAGAAGAAAGGATATCAGAGATTGAAGATCAGCTCAATGAAATAAAATGAGAAGGCAAGAATAGAGAAAGAAAGAGTGAAAAGAAATGAACAAAGCCTCCAAGAAATATGGGATTATGTGAAAAGACCAAACCTATGTTTGATAGGTGTACCTGAATGTGACGGAGAGAATAAATCCAAGCTGGAAAACACTCTTCAGGATACTATCCAGGAGAACTTCCCCAACCTAGCAAGGCAGGCCACCATTGAAGTCCAGGAAATAGAACACCACAAAGATATTCCTCAAGAACAGCAACTGCAAGGCACATAATCGTCAGATTCACCAGAGTTGAAATGAAGGAAAAAATGCTAAGGACAGCCAGAGAGAAAGGTCAGGTTACCCACAAAGGGAAGCCCATCAGACTCACAGCATATGTCTCTGCAGAAACCCTACAAGTCAGTAAAGACTTGGGACCAATATTCAACATCCTTAAGAAAAGAAAGAACTTTCAACCTAGAATTTCATATCCAGCCAGATTAAGCTTCATAAGAGAAGGAGAAATAAAATTCTTTACAGACAAGCAATTGCTGAGAGATTTCATCACCACCAGGCCTGCCTTACAACAGCTCCTGAATGAAGCACTAATCAAGGAAAGGAACAACCAGTACCAGCCATTTCAAAAATGTACCAAATAGTAATAAAGACCATAGACTTAATGAAGAAGATGCGTCAACTAATGGGCAAAACATCCAGCTAGCATCAAAATGGCAGGATCAAATTCACACATAACAATATTAACCTTAAATATAAATGGGCTAAATGCCCCAATCAAAAGACACAACTGGCAAATTGGATGAAAAGTCAAGACCCATTGATGTATTCAGGAAACCCGTCTCACATGCAAGGACACAAATAGGCTAAAAATAAGGGATGGAGGAAGATTTATCAGAAAATGGAGAGCAAAGAAACAAAGCAGGAGTTGCAATCCTAGACTCTGATAAAATGGACTTTAAACCAACAAAGGTCAAAAGAGACGAAGAAGGGCATTACATAATGGTAAAAGGATCAACGTTTCAAGAAGAGCTGAAGAGCTAATGATCCTAACTATATACACACCCAATACATAAAGCAAGTTCTTAATGACCTACAAAGAGACTTAGACTCCCACACAATAGTAGTGGGAGACTTTAACACTCCACTGTCAATATTAGACAGATCAACAAGACAGAAAATTAACAAGGATATACAGGGCTTGATCTTAGAACTGGACCAAGAGGACCTAATAGACATCTACAGAAATCTCTAACCCAAATCCACAGAATATACATTCTTCTCAGCACTGCATTATACCTACTCTAAAATTGACCACATAATTGGAAGTAAATCACTCCTCAGCAAATGCAAAAGAACAGAAATCATAACAAACAGTCTCTCAGACCACAGGGCAAACAAATTAGAACTCAGAATCAAGAAACTAACTCAGAACTGCCCAACTTCTTGGAAACTGAACAACTTGCTCCTGAATGTCAACTGGGTAAACAATTAAATGAAGGCAGAAATAAAGATGTTCTTTGAAACCAATGAGAATGAAGATGCAACATACCAGAATGTCTGGGACACATTTAAAGCAGTGTCTAGAGGGAAATTTATAGCAATAAGTGCCCAACAGAGAAGTGAGGAAAGATCTAAAACTGACGGACTATCGTCAAAATTGAAAGATCTAGAGGAGCAAGATCAAGAAAACTAAAAAACTAAAAGAAGACAAGAAATAACTAAGATCAGAGCAGAACTCAAGGAGACAGAGATACAAAAAAAAACCCTTCAAAAAATCAATAAATCAAGGAGCTAGTTTTTTGAAAAGATCTAGAAAATAGACAGACTGCTAGCCAGGTTCATAAAAAAGAAAAGGGAGAAGAATCAAGTAGATGCAATAAAAAAATGAAAAAGGGGCTCTCACCACTGATTCCACAGAAATACAAACTACCATTCAGAGATTACTACAAAACATTCTATGCATATAAACCAGTGAACCTGGAAGAAACGGAAAAATATCTGGACACTTGCACCCTCCCAAGCCTATACCAGGAAGAAGTTGAAACCTTGAATAGAACAATAACAAGGGCTGAAGTTGAGGCAGCAATTAATAGCCTACCAACCAACAAAAGCCCAGGTCCAGGTGGGTTCACAGCTGAATTCTACCAGACCTACAAAAAGGAGCTGGTACCATTAATTCTGAAACTATTCCAAACAATACCAAAAGAGGGAATCCTTCCCAAATTCTTTTATGAAACCAACATCATCCTGACACCAAAACCTGGCAGAGACTCAACAAAAAAAGAAAACTTCAGGCCAATATCCATGATGAACATAGATGCAAAATTCTTCAATAAAATACTGGCAAGCCAATCGCAACAGCACATCAAAAAAAGCTTATCCATCACAATCAAGCAGGCTTCATCCCGGGGATGCAAGGCTGGTTCAACATATGCAAGTCTATAAATGTAATCCACCAGATAAACAGAACCAAAGACAAAAACCACATGATGATCTCCATTGATGCAGAGAAGGCCTTTGACAAAATTCAACAGCTCTTTATGCTAAAAACTCTCAATAAGCTAAGTATTGAAGAAACGTATCTCACAATAATAAAAGCTATTTATGAAAAACCCACAGCCATTATTATACTGAATGGGGACAAACCAGAAGCATCTCCTTTGAAATCTGGCACTAGACAAGAATGCCCTCTCTCACCACTCCTATTCAATATAGTATTGGAAGTTCTAGCCAGAGAAATGAGGCAAGAAACAAAAAAAGGGGGTATTCAGTTAGGAAAGGTGGAAGTCAAATTGTCTTTGTTTGCAGACGATATGATTATACATTTAGAAGACCCCATTGTCCCAGCCCAAAATCTCCTTAAACTGATAAGCAACTTCAGCAAAGAGTCAGGATATAAAATTAATGTGCAGAAATCACAAGCATTTCTAACACCAATAAAAGACTAACAGAGAGCCAAATCATGAGAAAACTTCCATTAACAATCGCTACAAAGAGAATAAAATACCTAGAAATACAACTAACAAAGGATATAAAGGACCTCTTCAAGGAAGACTACAAACCAGTGCTTAAGGAAACTAGAGAGGGCACAAACAGATGGAAAAGCATTCCATGCTCATGGTTAGGAAGAATCAATATTGTGAAAATAGCCATACTGCCCAAAATAATTTATAGATTCAACACTATCCCCATCAGGCTACCAATGACCTTATTGACAGAACTGGAAAAACCCACCTTAAACTTCATATGGAACCAAAGAGAGCCCGCATAGTCAAGACAATCCTATGCAAAAAGAACAAAGCCAGAGACATCGCACTACCTGATTTCAAACTATACTACATGGTTACAGTAATTAAAACAGCATGGTACTGGTACCAAAACAGAGATAGAGAACAATGGAACAGAACAGAGGCCTTGGAGGCAATGCCACACATCTGTTATCATCTGATCTTTGACAAACTTGACACAAACAAGCAATGGGGAAATGATTCCCTGTTTAATAAATGGTGTTGGGAAAACTGGCTAGTAGTGTGCAGAAAGCAGAAACTGGACCCCTTCCTGACACTTTACACTAAAATTAACTCCAGATGGATTAAAGACTTAAACATAAGACCTAACACCATAAAAACCCAAGAAGAAAACCTAGGCAAAATCATTCAGGACACAGGCATAGGTGAGGACTTCATTACTAAAACACCAAAAGCCTTGGCAATGAAAGCCAAAATAAACAAACGAGATCTAATTAAACTCCAGAGTTTCTATACAGCAAAAGGAACAATCATTAGAGTAAACCAGCAACCAACAGAATGGGAAAAAAATTTTGCAATCTACCCATTTGACAAAGGGTTGATATCTAGAATCTACAAAGAACTAAAACAGATTTATAAGAAAAAAAATAAACAAACCCATTCAAAAGTGGGCAAAGGATATGAACACACTTTTCAAAAGAAGACATATATGAGGCCAACAAACATATGAAAAAATGCTCATCATCACTGGTTATTAGAGAAATGCAAATCAAAACCACATTGAGATACTACCTCACACCAGTTAGAATGGTGATCATTAAAAAATCTGGAGACAAAAGGTGCTGGAGAGGATGTGAAGAAATAGGAACACTTTTATACTGTTGGTGGGAGTGTAAACTAGCTAAACCATTGTGGAAGACAGTGTGGTGCTTCCTCAAGGACCTAGAAATAGAAATTCCATTTGACCCAGCAATCCCATTACTGGGTATTTACCCAAAGGATTATGAGTCAATCTACATAAAGACACATGCACACATATGTTCATTGCGGCACTGTTTACAATAGCAAAGACCTGGAACCAAACCAAATGCCCATTGACTAGATAAGAAAAATTTGTCACATATACACCATAGAATACTATACAGCCATAAAAAGGGATGAGTTTGTGTCATTTTAGGGACATGGATGAATCTGGAAACCATCATTCTCAGCAAACTGACACAAGAACAGAAAATCAAACACCATATGTTCTCACTTATAGGCGAGTGTTGAACAATGAGAACACATGGACACAGGAAGGGGAGCATCACACACTGGAGCCTGTTGTGGGGGCCAAGGGAGGGACAGCGGGGAGGTGTGGAGGTCAGGGAGGGATAAAATGGGGAGAAATGCCAGAAATGTGGGGAGATGGAAGCAGCAAACCATATTGCCATGTGTGTACCTATCCAACAATTCTGCATGATCTGCACATGTACCCCAGTACCTAAAGTACAAAAAAAAAGCGGGGGGAGGGGAGAGAAGGGGAGCAAAAAAGGAAAAAGAAAAGAAACATTGCTTATGATCTTTCATCTATTCTCTAGGTGAACAGTGATTCAACTGAACCCAGAATCTCTCACCTGTTGGAGATTCAATCCTTAAACCATGAGTTAGAAAGCAGCAGAGTGGAAGAAACAGAGAGCCTCTAAAAGTCAACACAAAAGGGGCAACGTATTATCTTTCAGAGAAATCACTCTATGTTTTTACCCTAAGTTTGTGGCAGAAGAAAGTGAACCCAAGATGAAACTAGCTCTGAGAAAAAGACCAAATCTCATTTTGATGTGGTCCTTTGTGAAACATTACAGAGCAGAGCTGTATCAGATTTTAGGTAGTATGTAAAAAGTAGCATTTTAGGATGGACTATGAGAATATGTAAGAGTAAAACAAGTGTTCATTTGGAAAATATTATTAGTGTGACCTTTATGAAATATTTTATTAGTAGTTTACAACCTATTCCAATTGGAGTATTTAGAAATATGTAGGGACATTTCGATTATCAGAATGTCTGAGAGGCATTACTTGCATATTGTTGGCAACGATAAAAACTATAAATGTCTTTTGGGTACTCCTGGAAATCCAGCCAATAAAGAACTGCTTTACACAAAATGTCATTAATACTCTGAGAAATACAGTGACATGGATATAATTATATTGCCAGGCTAATCATAGCCACACTCTTATATGTTACCTAGTATAACTCAGTCTATAATGCAGCAGGTACACCTACACCCACCACCTCTAATTCTACAAGATGTATACAGCATATATTTTGATTTAGGAAGTCAAAAAAGTCCCTTGCAAGAAAAATCAGAAAAAATCAAAATGTCTAATGGAAGGAATCTCCCCTTTCTACTGCCTTATCAGCTAAGAATGCTTGTTTTTAATAAAATATATGCAACCAAGAAAACGAACTGGCCAGAGTCAGAGAACCAAGCCTCACCAAGGCCAAAAGGTTTTAAATATTACACAGACATATCTGTGCATACAAACACACAGATAGGTACATATAACTTATTATTCAAATCAGCAAGGACTAAGACAGTTTTGCTATGTTTACTTAAAAAACTTCTCTGAGGAGAATGTTAATAAAAAATGTACATGATAATCCACAGGAATGATATTGAACATTCTCGAGATACTGAATGGTTATGAGATGGATTATCATTGCTACAGTGTAAATAGAAAGACTAGTGAAAATTTCCCAAGCTGCTAAAGACTTCTCTTTATCCAGGTGAAAATGTTTTTAATTATTTGTAAAAGTGCTAATGTGCTCTTTGATAGCAGGACAGAGGTTTGGACATTTATATCATCAGGTGGAGAAAGTTATACCTGACTGGACTAACAGCTGCAACATAATTTTTCTGATTGGCATTGTGTAGAATATAACAACCTAGACAATTAGAATGACCTAATCTTTTTGATGTGCATATTTTAGTAACGATACAAATTTTTTTACAACATTTGATTCAACATTTCTCTTAAAGATTTTCTTTCAAGATATTTGAAACAGATGATCAGTGACTAGTTATTAGAAAATGTACTTAGTATCTGAATAGTTTTCATCAAGAAAGATTTTGAAAGGTAATTCGTATTTTGAAAGTTGTATAAATAAATAAAAGTACTTCTTTTGTTTCCAGGATCATATTCTCACCTCTATGTGCTAGTTTTTACATGCTAAAAATTCTCAAAAATTCTCCCCTGCCCCTTTTCCCTCTTTGCACTAGCAACTGAAGGAAAACTCTATCATACAGAGGAGATTCCATTCAAAAGTACAAACTTCACAGAATTTCTATAATACAGCCAAAAATACAAAAATCAGATTTACAGCATGTAACCCTGCCCTTATTTTTATGCTTCAGACTTTTAATGATGTTTGAATTCTATCCCATGTCTAAAAAAACATCTAATATCTTTGGTCCAGTTTAAGATTCAACTTAAAAATAATCCAAGACAAAAAGACAGATGTCATAGAAATTGTAGTCCAGCCATACCAGGAGAGAGGTACTGACCCAAAGACTCTAATCCTCTAGACTACCTATGGAGCAAGATGTCTTTCCACTTATATCATCTCCATGTGTAACTAGTACTTTATGATGCATAAGTAAAATCTGAGGTTCCATAGCTTTGGAATATTAGATACTATTAAAAGAGATGAGATTGGGACCATTAATGTCACAAGCTGCTCAGGAGTTGGGCAGACCTGCTCTCTAATCTAGGCTGTACCACCTGCTGAGTTAGTCTTTGATCTCTGGATGCCTCATCTTCCTCTATGAGACTCATCAGTTGAAAATGATCACTTCTAACTTGAAATTCTATAATGTTGAAAGTCTTTATCTTTCTGAAATTTCTATAGAAGTTGCAATAGAAGTCTGGAAAATAAAACAATAGAAAACACTCATAGTTTTACTAACCTAATAAAATAAAACATTCTCTATGTTACCTAAATAGGTATGAAATATCTTCTGTGCCAAAAATTATGAGCACAAGTACAAGGCAACGTCCCAAATGGAAAAAAAAGTTATAAGAAACATTCCAGAGCATAATGTCTTCATATATAAAAAACTCACACAAGTTTAAAATAAAGACTCACTCCAAAAAGACAGGTAAATAAGGCAAAAAAAGTGATTTACTAAAGTCAAATTTTAAATCACGAATGAACTTATGAATAAATGCTCTAGACTGCCTGAAAAGCCTACCATTTTCCTTTTCCCATACTCTACTTCCCCATATCTTGAGACTTTCCTTTTGTAATTTCAATTTCCTCTCATCATCAATGGCCACCCTTTCTCTGCACCTAGTCCATTTTTTAATTATGTCTCTTCATTCTCTATTGGGAACATTGAAATAATCAGGCAAAAATTCTTTTCAATACCACAGCATCGTATCTATACATCTACTTGCATTTGTTCCTGGACTTTCTATCCTCTTATTACCAGAGTTAAACTGTAGCTATTGCAAGAGCCAGACAAACCCTGTACTTGTTTTCTGAATCCTGCAAACCCTTATCTTTTCCAGGGCATCTACAAGATACCCCTTTTCATTCCTGTGTAATCAAGGTCTTTCTCTCCAGAATTATTCCAGTACTCTAAAAACAGACTCACTTATAGCATCGCGCATCCTAAAAGCAAAGAAAATGTATTGCCAAAATTTTCTTGTCTTTATTAACCACCAGACATCACGCACAAATAATCTACTCTGGCTGTATTCCCTCCTCCTCATTTGTTTATTCTTCAACTTGCTGCAAGTCAGTGTCTGAACCCACATCTCCACAGAAACTGCTATTGTCAACTCCATGGACCACATGTCGTCTGCTATTCTAGTATTACTTTCTATCTCATTTTACTGGCTCTCTCAGCAGCATTACTCCCAGTGATGACTCCTGAAAAATTTTTTTCTCTTGGATCAGGGATACCCCATTCACTAGTTTACAGGCTGCTCGCTGTCCCATTAATTTCAGTCTCCTGTGCTGGCTCCTTCTTTTTGAACTTGATCTACATACCACAGTGTCTCAGAGTTTGGCCCTAGACCACTTCTCCTTTTGGTCTGTTTCTCTGGATGATCTTGCATGGCTTTGAATGTTATCAAAATGACTTCAACTCCAAGGTCTCTGAACTCATTTATCTACCTGTCGATTCATAACTTCACTTTTATATTCCATAGAACCTCAAAAATAAAAGATTCCATGCAAACTTCTTATTTCGGTGTCCCTCACTGCCTGGTTCTTTCATAGTTTTCCCATCTCAGTAAATGACATCACCAGCCATCACATTGTTTAAGATGAAACCTAGGAATGAGTCATCTTTGACATCTTTGCAACCTTCCCCATAGGAAGTCCAAAGTGAGTCAGAATGCTTTTTTATTCAAAACATTTCAAAAATAGAAGCACCGTCATGTCCTATAAGGTACGAAACTATAGTCTTCTACTTTGCCTCTCTACTATCACTTGATCCACTCTTTTCTACTCTCAACCCAACAGCCAGAATGTGTAACACAGGGTCTGCTTAAAACTCTCCTAAGTCCTCTAGTTGTACTTCTAGTAAGCTCTGAGCACTGCACTAAGGCCTGCAAGACTCCATATGACCCTCCCATTTTATCGTTCTAACCTTAGGTCACAGGACTTTTTCCTGCTTATTATACTTTGGCCTCACTAGCTTTTCTGTGTTTCCTAAATACTAACTTTGTTGCTGTCTTAGGACCTTTACTCTCAAGCTCATCTCTGCCTGACAGGCCCCCACAACAGAGCATCAAACACGTGGTTCATTCTTTAGACTTTGGATCTCAGTTATTTCCTCAGAAAGAATCTTCTCAAACCACCACTTTGAAATGCCTCGACTCTCCAATCAAGGAGTTGTTCTTCAACAACATTTCTTTTCTTCATTACTATCTGAAACATTTGTTTCAATATTCTTTGTTTGTTTATCATCTCTCCTACTAGATTATAAGCTTCTGATTGGCCACATATTTACTGTTTTATGTATCACTTTATATTTGCTACCAAAGCATGCAATATATATTTGTTGAATAAATTAGTGAGTTCAAATCACTTCAGATACCATAGGAAGAAGCTAATGAACTACCATTTGAAAGTTTAACATAAAACCTTAAATGTAGCATTACAACATCATATAACTGACTTCTTCCCTGAGCTCCACCTATGTAGAAACTGCTTCCTCAGTACTTTTACTTGGGCATCTTGTAGACTCAAACTCCACAGATTCGACACAGAATTTTTTTTTATTTAAACCCTCATCAATCTATTTAGTTCCCAATTCCCCTTTTCCTCTAAGATCCTGAAGATAAAACCTAGAATTTTTGTATATGTTTATTACACACACACACACACACACACACACACACACACAGAGAGATCCCATTATACTAAAGTTACATATGCTGTAATATGTATTTGTGGGTGTGTATTTATGTGCAGCTGTCTATCTATATTTTAAATAAAATATACCAAAGTGTACATGATGATTTTATTTCCTTGGGCATGCGAGATTCAGAGTAATTTTGTATACTTCACAGTATGAAAAATATGTGTTTATATAGTTTTTTTTCCCCCTATGGTTTTGTTTTGTCTGTATGGTCACTTATTTTTTAAAAAAATGTATGGGTTTTCTTGTGTTTCTTTTTTGTTTTTGTTTTTTTTTCTTTGTTTGTTTTTGGATGCAGGGTCTCTCTCTATCCGCTACGCTGGAGTACAGTACCTAATTATAACTCACCACAGTCTTGAACTCTTGGGCTCAAGCGATCCTCCCACCTCAGCCTCCTGAGTAGCTAGAACTATAGGTGTCTGCCACCAAGCCTGGCTAATTATCTTATTTTCCTTTTTTAGAGACAGGGCCTCACTATGTTGTGCAGGCTGATCTTAAACTTCTGGCTTCAAGCCATTTTCCTGCCTTGACCTCCTAAAGCACTGGGATTACAAACATAGCCACTATACCTGGCTATGTGTCATTTTAATAGAAAAAAGTAAAAACTTATAAAATTGAGGATTCTATAATTTATGAACTAGGGTAATAAGGAGAGGATTACAAAATTTTTCCGGTTCAGTAGCACAGATTTCAGTACAATTATGTAGATTTAACTGGATTCAGTTAAGTCTATAATAGCAGAGAAATCTAGAAAAAATGACAACTTTGTATGCCATATTTTGGGATGTCATTGTTATTATGTATGTAAAGGAAAGTGAACAGCTAACTGTAAGCCTCAAGAGCAGATTTATAATTTTCCTAAAAGATAAAATTATGTATATATATATATACACATGTATATATATAATTTCTAAAGTAATATTCAAATTATCATTACCACCAAATGTGTGGAAGACAAAACAAAGAGAGTTCTACCAGGAAATTACATCTTCTAAAACTATTGATTATTATTGTAAAGACAATATGTTTGTGTAGCCAGCAGTCATATTATGCTATTTTTGCAACATGTGAGTTAACTGCCTTGAATGGGCAGGTTGCTGGTGCATTTGCTGGTGGTTTGATCTGCAAATAGAGAAAAAAGTTTGGATTCAATAAATAATGTTTTCTCTAGAATCCCTGCATTATTTTTAAATTTATTAAAAATATATTGTTAAAATAATTACCAGTCTGGTGATCATCCCAAATTTCTTATACTTTGTTGGGGTTAATATTTCTTTCTTTTCTTCAATTTTTATTTTAAGTTCAGGGGTACATATGCAGGATGTGCAGGTTTGTTATACTAGGTAAACATGTGCTGCACAGATCATCCAGTCACCTAGGTATTAAGCCCAGCATCCATTTGCTGTTCTTCCTGATGCTCTCCCCCTACCCCGACTCCAACAGACTCCAGTGTGTGTTGTTCCCTCCTTGTGTTCATGTGTTCTCATCATTCATCTCCCACTTATAAGTAAGAACATGCCATTTTTGGTTTTCTGTTCCTGTGTTAGTTTCCTAAGAATTATGGCTTCCAACTCCATCCGTGTCCCTGCAATAAAGATGATGTTGTTCTTTTTTATGACTGCATAGTATTCTGTGGTGTTTATGTACACATTTTCTTTATCTAATTTATCATTGATGGGCATTTAGGTTGATCCCATGTCTTTGCTATCATGAATAGTGCTGCAATAAACATATGCATGCATGTATCTTTACAATAGAATGATTT